GCGGCCATTTTGGAGCCGCCGAACAGCTGATCGGTGGCTCCAAAATGGCCGCCGGATGACCCGAAATGGCCCCGTCAGTGTTTTCGCGCCCTCCCCTTGCTTACCAAGGTCGCGAAAACGCTGCGGGGGGCTATTTCGGGTCGTCCGCGGCCATTGGGAAGCAAGGGGAGGGCGCGAAAACACTGACGGGGCCATTTCGGGTTATGCGGGGCACCACTGTACTGAGGAATCCCCTGGAGTTGTTTCATCTGTGCATCACAATAGTTTATGACTTGATTATTTTTTTTGTTTCAATTTTTTTGATGCCTCAGATGACTACATGTACTGAGGATGTGATAAGAGCCAGTAACTATGTTCCCATCTCATTAACCTTTCAGTTCCCAGACTGGGATAACCCACCTGGTCTGGGGCAGCTTAATGTTTCTTTACTTAATGATAAGACATTTAGAAGTCAGATGATCAATAAGCTATCAGGATACCTTAATATCAGTGAAAGATCAACTAGTACCTGCATCATAGAGTGAGAAGCATGTAAAACTTTGTGAGAGGGAGAATTATTGACTGTTTCCCACGAGAAGCTTATAGCAATGAAAAGAAGTTTGAAAAATTAGATGAAATATTTCTTAAGCTAGTTTCTAACATCCCCCACACCTGATCTTTATCATGATTTGCACAATGCCAAATGTGATTCAAATAATATATTTTCAGAGATGGCAGAATGTGCTTTAACACATTCACATCAATCATTTTGGCAAGGCAGTAAGAGACCAAGTGAGATCTTGCCATACCACAGTAGATCACAAAAGAGCAAAAATTACATTCCACTGATCAAAGATGAAAACAATGAAATGCATTCCATCCTTGTCAAAATAAATACTACTACCATAGAAAATTGAAGTTGGAAGGGGCCTACAAGGCCATCAAGTCCAACCCCCTGCTCAGTGCAAGAATACAATCAAAACATCTGCCAGGTGATTGGTTAAGTTTTTCTTAAATGCCTCCAGTGTTGGAGCACTCACCAACTCCCAAGGTAACTGGTTCCATCTAACAGTTAAGGAGTTATACCAACTATTCTATATGTTTTACTCAGAACAATATAATTAGGGCAGACAACTGATAAAAGCATTCTTTTCTCATCTTGGGTTACTCTACCTACATCATCTAGAGCAACAGTTTCTTTGTCTTGGGCCAGAGATGAAATAAAAGCAGTGATTAAGAATATGAATACTGATAATCCCCAGGACCAGATGGATTTCCTGTAGAGCCTTTTCTAGATCTTTTAACTCCAATATATCATCAGGTCCGTGCCTTGCATGTTATACCATGACTCTATTATAGTGGTTCCAAAGCCTGGCAATAGCCACAATGTGCAAAGTTTAAACCTATTTCATTCATGAATGTTGATGTAATATTAATGGCTATATGAACCAAGAGGCACCAAAAGGTCACTAAAACCCTAGTATATCCAGTCCAGGTTGTGTCTGTACAAGGCACTCAGGGCTCCAGTGATCTGAGAGTAATAGTAGACTTGATTAGCAAGTGACCTGATCAGGCTACAATCCTTTTTTGCCTGTTGCTAAAAAAGCTTTTGACAAAATATACCAACAGTTTATTTTTGCTGAATTTATTAACTTTGGTTTCCCCTTCTGACTTTTGAAAAAGGATTTGGATTTTTCTAGATTTCTGTTCATTCTGTACATGGAACATATCATATGGAAAGGCAGAACAGATTCAGATGAAGGAGAGAAAACTGATGGAAGAAATCTCAAGAATTTCAGAGATAAAGATGACACCTTCTTATTGGCAGGAAGCAAGTCTTCTGGCTTTTAGTAAAAGCAGAAGAAGAAAGTGCCCAAGCAGAACTGCAGTTGAATGTTAAGAGGACAAAAGCCATGACTACAGAAAAACTAAAAAACTTTAGCATTGATGATGAAGAAACTGAAATAGTTGGAGATTTTGTGTGCATAGGATCAGTCATACATCCCGTTAAAGACTCTAGCCAAGAACTCAGGAGACTGGGAACAAGATTGCAGTTGGAAAAGATCATAGAGTGTAAGGATGTATAACTGGCGACCAAGATCATCCACCGTCTTGTATTTCTGATCTCATCATGTATGGATGTGAAAGCTGAACAGTTAAGAAAGCTAAGAGGGGGAAAATGGATTTTTCTGAAATGTGTTGTTTTCTGGATATCTGAGACTGCCAGAATAATGAACAAGTAAGTACTAATTCAAATCAAGTCTGGACTATCTCTTGAGAGAAGAAAAAATGATGAAACTGAGGCTCTCCTGTGTTGGGAATATTCTTAGAAGGCAGGATTCTCTGGAAAAGACAAATCTGAGTTGGATGGACTCCCTAAAGGAAGCAACAGGCTTGAGTTTACAAGAATTGACCAGGGTAGTTGAAGACAGGACATTCTGGAGATCACCATAGGTCAGTAGAAAGAAATATGGATTTCTTGCGGAATTCTAAATGCAGCCTTCCATTACAATAAAAACAAAGTATGTGAACTGCAGATATTCTGTTGTTTAATGTAGCAAGTCATACTACAGGGGGCCTATTGAATCAGTGGGGATTTGGTGAAGTGACTCATCTGTAAGTTCTGTTGACCCAAAGGGACTCACTGCTTGCAGAGAAGCCTGTGGATGTTTACATTGAAGCAGGTGTCCAGAATAAAAGAGACTGAAGTGCTAGTACATGTGGGGAAGACTGTAACCTAAATGCTGAGCATATGTATTTCTTTCCTGCAGTAATTTAAGAACATAGCAGTGCTGAGTGTTCATTCCATGGGTGGAATGAAAAGGCCAGTACCCTGTGCGTAGCCTGACCGTGTAAGAACAAGGCTGCCTGTTTAAAACAATGACATTGACATGCAGAACAATAAACAGCATTTACCTTTTCTTTAACAGCTTGGCTTTTGTACACATCTGAAACATCTTCTTTAAGAAAAGAGGAAATTTCATCCACTTTAGTAAGTAATGCAAGCTGTGGCAATTCTGGAAGCAGAAAACAAGTTATTGAAAGAACAGTATCACCAAACATGGATTTCCCAGTCTCTTGAATTCACTGTCCCGGATGTCTTATCAAGAGAATGAAAATGTTTCAAAGCAGCAAATTTTTTAAATCGTTACCCTGCTATTCTTGGAACAGAAACTAAAAGGACATTAGGGCACCCAAGGCAGCTCACAATATTAAAAGAATAAAATTAAAAACATAAGAAGCTAAACATTAAAAAAACCTGTTCACTAAGTAAAACACAATTGAAATGCAGGTAAACATTAAAAGTTATCTTAACTTCAAAATGGCATCCCAGGATTCAATCATCATTGTAAATCATGATTGTTCCAGCTCCCAGAATCCCTTGACCAGCACTTCCTGTGCACATCAGTGTGCTTTTGGAGTACAACTCCCAAAATCCCAAGGGCAGCATGACTACTGGAATTCCATGAGTTTTGGTCCAAAACTACAAATATGCATAATCACTCTGTGATCAAGCATTAATATGTAAAACTGACCAAGCTCAATAACTTTTTGTCGAATTTCTTTTAGCTTTCCTTCCATCTTCTCAGAGAGGATTTCAACCTTGGATCCATCAATGACAAACACAACGCAGTGAATCTGGTCCTTCAGTGATGGAGACTTAATGTAGCCGGGGGCACTTGGTTGCATAGCTGCACTTGGATTAAACTGAAAATAAAAGAGACAATAGCAATCATAGTAGGAACAACAGAACACAGCTAGAACGCAACCCAATTCCTGCAAGAAACTGCTAGATACAAACTGACGTCAGAAATACCTACTCAGAAATGTCTTGCATGAAACAAATATACCAAAATTATCCTATCAAATGACAGAGAAACAGAGAGTTTATGACATTGTGTAAATATGCCTGAGTAGATGCCCAGATTCTTGAATAACTATTTCTTTATATCACATGAGCTGTGGAGTGCTAGGTGATGCGCCCTACCTGATACCCATCAGGAATGTGTCCTTTTAATATGTTGATCACATCATCCATTTTCAGGCTGGCAAATTCTCCTTCTTCTAGCCCCATGGTGTCACAGAAGATGATGGGCAATGGCTTTCCAGTGCTTCTGTTTTTCACTTCATAGGTCCTGTACTATTTTTTAAGGGCAAATAAATAAATAAAGATAGATTCCCATCCACTTGTGTGTTTTTTTAATATGTAAATAAGAGGTATCAACTACTGGTAAACAGAAAGAACCACCTTTCCATTTTTTTATAACCTGTATCACAAAATTAAGAATAGGGGCAGCCTGCTGAGACAGGCCTTAGCCTTGATATTTTACACCATTGATAAAAATCTTGTCTCCTGAGTTCTCTAACAAAATGGGATCACACTTGATTAAATAACATTGTACCACACTGGCTTCAGGAATTTCTGGGCTCTTTGCCAAGTCTGTTTCCTTAGCAACAGTGCAGCCGTTAGAACATTCAGCTGCCTCAGAAGACTGAAGGCAAAATACTTTTTTTGGTTGACTAAAATTCTTTTCCTTTTCAGATTCACATTGGGCCCAAAAATGTCCTGATTCACCACTGAATATAAGACAAGTAACATTGTTTACTTGTCTTATATTCAGTATAAAGGGATTTATTAATTTTTCCCTCAGAACTATTTGCTTTCAGGGGACTATGTTCTGGGGATGAGGGTTTTGCTTTAAAATGGCTTCCCTTAGCTTGAATCTGACTGAAGTAATTTCCACTAGATTGGGATGTTCTCCTACTGTTGTCCCATCTTTTTCTGTCAATTTTTACCACAGAGAATGAGGATCTCTGATCCCACTAATAGAATCAGAGTATTCATACGCTTGTAGCACATTTTTAGGATCCTTCTCCTTGATAAGATAACGTAACTCCCCTGGTAAAATTGAATAAAATTGTTCTAGTCCAAACACATTTTTATTTGGTCTAAGGAAGTTACATTCTCTTGCTCCAACCATTTATTAAGAAACTGGGTTAACCTTGCTCAAAGCTGGGCAAAAGTTTCCTCAGGTTTCTTTGAAATTGATTTAAATTTCCTCCTGAGATGCTCTGAATTAATACCAAATCTGTAATACACATCTTTCAATAAGCCTCAAAATCTCTAGCTTGCTCCAGAGGCATTTGTGAATATATTTCATATAACACCCCACTTGTGATATTAAAATCATCATCCTCTCATCATCTTTAACCTCAAAGTTCCAACAAGCTCTCTCAAATGAAATCAGGAAAGATTCAGGACAATCCCCCTTCTGATATTGAGGAAATTTCTTT